GAGAGAGAGAGAGAGAGAGAGAGAGAGAGAGAGAGAGAGAGAGAGAGAGAAAGAGAGAGGTTGTTGGCGAGCGTAATTGCGCGGAACGGCTTGTAATAAACTTTAAATCCCGAGACACGCCTCGGCACAGCTCGGGAAATTTTCTTCACAGCTCGCAGTCTTATTTATTCGCGCTTAATGCTTCGGGCGGAGGGGCCACCGCTACGGAGCGAAGCAGAGGACGCGGCAGAAGACGGGAGAGAATTAAAGCGCGATTGCAATTTTCACCGGTGCAATGGACGCGGCAACGCGTGACATCAAACGGGAAATAAACGACTTCTCGCTCGATGCAAGCTGGGGAGCCATGATTTCATGTGAGACCAAATTGTCGAGAGATTAAAAAAGAGCTGTTTTATTCAGGAGCTCCCTCCTCTTTTCTTTCTTGTTCCTTCCTTTATGTAAATGAAAATGCGCTTAGCAACGCAAATACTATCTTCATACCGGATCGCCAACGGGGCGCTCTGGCGAAATTTTCGGAATTTTCGGCGAGAAAGAGTTTCCGGAGTTACTATCTTTGAACGTCGGAGCTACTTAAATGCAAGAAAGAGAGACTCACCGTTCCTTTCGCGTAATAATTCTCTAGCTCTTGGAAGAAGTCCGTGAAGACGTAGGCGTTCTGCTCGTAGAGGATGCCATAGGTTTTCTTGAACATGTCGTGAAAACCTCGCTTGCTGGTTGACAGTAGATCCTTGAAAAAAGCTGCAAACAGAAATGATATCGTGAATGACATCTCGTACGGTGCAATCATTGCCCGACTAGAAATTTACCCCATGGAACAACCTGATTAAAGCCCCATGGTTCTGATCAGATTGATTCCAATCAATTATCTGATTTGTGCAAGGTGATGTTATCGGTTCTTAATCAGGATTTATTAATAATAAAAACTCGACATTTTTTACCTTATACAAGCCAGATAACTGTGTGGGATCAACCAGGATTACTAAGTGAATTTCTAGTTGTGAATATTGATTTTTTTTATTGCGCATGTGTGAGTGTATTCATTAATGTGTGAGCTAGCCTACACTGTCATCGTCAACTTCAGCAACTAATGGCAATATCGACGACACAACAACGAGAGAGGAAACCACCGGCGCGAAAATCTTGAAATGGCTTATCGCCTCCAACCCTGTCAAGCTTTCCGGCGCTTTGACGCCCTTCGCGGCGGAAAATCGCGGCCGAGCGCGAAACGGGAAATTAGTCGGCATTTCAGGATGCGAATCGTCGTCGTCGGCAGGGGTTGGTCGTATAGCGAATTAAAAGCTCGACGAACTTGCGGCAAGCAGAGTCTTCCACACAGCCAGCCACCTCCCTTTTTCCACCTCCGAGTGTTGGCTTCTCCTTTCCTCCGTTCTCCGGCGCTCCTCTCGTCGATCGCGTCGCTTTTTGCACCCCAACGCGACGCGACGCGACGCCGAGCGTCGGCGTCGCGGACTCGTGACAGAGAGGGGCCGGGCTAAAAGGAATTTTAATCACATTCCCCGCGGCTGAAGTGACGATAAGGAGGTTCGTCGGAGGGCTCAGGCGGAGGTGGCGGTGGCGGTGGCGACGGAGGCAGATCGAGGGCGGAAAAACGCTGCTTATCTTGCTCGCGTTGTACACGCTCTTGGTTTGTGCTTTGTTCCTCGAGGGTGTTGCTGTTCTTCTGCCAGATCGAATCGATGGCATATTGGTTGAATGACATTTAGTTTTGTTCTATTGGGGCCTCGGAATATATCGCGTGGGAATATTTTATTAATAGCCGTGCGCCTGTGGCATTTCTTTTTCTGTCGCGGAAGTGACTTTTTTTTGCTGGAATAGGTCATGAGGCAGTGGCTCATGTAAATGCTACGCTACAACTTTTCTGTCGCGCGGAATGAGATTTTATTTTTATTATCAGACTTTAAAGTAAAGTACGACGGGAAATATAGATCGAAATATTCTCAGCTGACTCGAGCGCGATAAGGTCTGCAATGGGAATTTGACCAACATAGAACTTTTTATAACCGGAAAACTTTTATTCACGTATCGACATTTTGTCTTAATTCTTTATTCTAGCGTTTCATTTGCTGTTTATATTTCAGGAATTGCAGTCTATTATGGAAATAATGTATTATGTCTTTTAGTAGAAAAAGTTTTATTGATAGGTTTACTCCTGCAGGACAAATTGAGAATAATTTATATAAAAAAGAACTTTACATATTATTTCTCTATGTAATTGGAAGTAAATATTTTCATATATATCAAATAGACTTCATACCGAGAAAGATTAACATTGCGCTCTGCATTTTCCTCGCACAATAAGTCTATTCTGTAACTTTTAATGACATGGTCGTTATCCTTGCGTTGTCATTACATTGCTTTTCCACATGTTATACCCACGCAACGACAACGTAACGATAACGACATTGTCGTTAAAAGTTACGGAATAGATCTATAGCGAAGAACTCGACTTTCCTTCTTTAGGATCTGCGACACTTCAAAAATCCTGGAATCAACATCCATCGAAGACGGGTCCTTTGAACGGATCGACTCGCCAGACCGCCGTAGTGTCAGCAATTAACGCGAAAATTAGGACACGTCTTAACCCGGGAAGCATCCCGGGTGGCTAACGATCCTGGCTAACGAAATTACTCGCCGGTGCAACTTCGCCGAAGGCTTCCCGCCTGATCTTCCCATCTTTTCCATCGCTTTCACGGCGAGACCCCTTTGAGGTACTTCCACCACCACCATCACCACCTACTATCTCGACCTGACGCCGAAGTACGTACCCACTTTAACCGGCACTTCGCTCGATGGAAGTTCATAGAGGCTTTACGGAGCCGACAGGATCTTCCGTCGTTTATATAGGGCGTGCCGCGACAGGACGTTCGATTACATATGTTTGGGATCGAATTGGTATTTCATGCCTTCGCTCTCAAACCGAGGAGTTCAAAGAGAAAGTATCTTACAAAATAATTTAAAAATTTTTACATCAGTACCAAAACGAATGGTAACTTAATGCGTTCGCCTTCAATCTCTCAAATTAAAAAAAAGGAAGAAGCATTTTGCAAAATAATAAAAAATTTCTGAATTTTACATTAGAATCAATAACACGCTCGAATTTTTCATGCTTTTGCTTTTAAATTGAAAAAAGCAAGGAAGTATTTTACAAAATAATACAAAATTTTTCGTTTTTGTATCAATATTAAAACACACTTGAATAGTACTTCACGCTTTTGTTTTTAAAATTAAAAAAGCAAGGAAAAGAGGTATTTTACAAAATAATAAAAAATCGGATTTTACATAAATACAAACAAGACGTGCGAATTTTTGGAAATGTGCTCGGAGAAATTTTGCAAGGAAGTTTTCGCAAATGCGAATTTGCCTTCTGATTAAAAAGTATCTCGGCTATTTGGAGGATATTAGTCGACCTTGTCGCACGTGATTTTTCCTGGCGAATCGCAAGATACAGATATCCTGCTGCGGGACACCCTGTACATTGAGAAGGGCGGAGGCGGTGCGCCTCCGAGACAATGCGATTTTCCACGTTCATCGATATTCTATACGCTGATACGACGGCGAAGGACCCGTGGAATTCTCGCCGTAACTTATGCACATAGATTTCTGCGCAACGCGACGATATGCCCTTCACGGCGCCGAAGAGCTGAGGTCGCAAATTGTCCTCGCGCGCGGGAGTTCCCGCCGTTTGTACAGCCGACGCGGGAACGCGGTCTCGTGAGAGACACTTTATGTTCAGTGAATCTCATCTTTCACGATTTATCCCGATTTATTCCGATCTCTTGGCTTTAGCTCTCGTCCTAACGCGCATGAATTTCTGTTTATTTTGTAATTTTCACGCGAAGAATGAAAAGACAAAATTTATAGTAATTTGCTCAATTTTATCTCTCTTTCATATGTTCACAATGACATCAACTGTTGTCATTCTTTTTGGCCTTTTAGCCCAATTTCAATATTGTATTATTCATGCTTCGTACACTATTTGTGCAAAAGATCAATAAACAAATTAAAGTCAAAGCTCAAAGAATGAAGTAAAATGCCGCGAAAGATATAATCTTAGAAAAAATGTTTGACATTTGTATTATGGTAAAAAGATATTTTTAATTAAATTTTAATTAAATTTTATTGTAATGTTAGTGATAATAACCTTGTATGTACATGTTACTATTACATTTTACTACAAAGAATATAATTAGGGCTTAAAACAACTATACTTTTAGTTAGACCAACCCATTTAGTTCTCTCAGTGCGCGAAATTTAATTAAAAAAACATTAGTGATTATATTTTAGCTGTCTCATTGCGACATTGCATCTCATTGTGAATTTTTATCAAAATCTGCTTCAGCAATAATTCATGCGAGGTGAGAAGTCGCGAAATTCTCTCTCTCTCTCTTTCTTTGCGGAACACCGGACGAAGTGGAGCGCTACGGAAGATACGTGGAAGATGCATGGCAATTTAATTATTCAAACATACGTGAGAGATTACTTTAGCTGCTTCATTGCAGCGCGCGTGGATCTTGTCTAAAAATAAAATATCTAAAGCGAGTAACAACATTTACTGTGCGGTATATATTTTTCTGCGGGTTGCGGGATACCAACTGGGCGGAGCTCCGTGGAAGATACGCGAAAGGTTACACGGTAAGTTTGATTATTTAAACGCACGTGAGAGATTACGCGAGATCCCATTATGCACGGTGGTATCCTCTCGAGGAAGTTGACTCCGCTTCGCGGGGACTTGCTCTTCGCAGCTGGCGCTTATAGCAACGGATAAGTACTCGAAACGGCTTCGGGGGAATAATCACCGCGCTCGGCATCCCGGGAGGGGGGCATTCAGATATTGCGCGAGTTGTTAACGTTACCTGCCGGTACCGGCGCTAATTACGGCGCGGGAGTAGTCGCGCGCTCCCGCTCGCATTATATCTGCCTATTAATTGTAGCGCAGCAGACGACGACTCGATGCAATCGCGTCTGTTTGCCGCGCGCAAAGTTACAGACGTAAACCGTGTCCCGGATAAAGGCGCCCTTTGTCATCCGCCGGGTAGACTCACAGATAGCGTGCGCGTTCGTATCGGCGCGATAGAAGATAATGGAAGCGCGAACGGCCGGAAGGAAGTCGAACAAATAAAATGCGCCGGTAGACAAAAAGTCCATATTCCGCACCAAGAGTTTTCACCTCGAATACAGCTCGATCGATGCATGTTATACATATTTATTTGACACAACAACGATAACGACCAGAAACTGATAACTAAGGAAAGCGTGATGCTTCGTGCATGCGAAATCGAAAGCTCTTGGAAGAAACAGAAAACTCATTTTACAAATTTACTTTGCTCCGAATTTGATCTGTATTCTTGAATGTTTTGACCTTCATATGGCATGGCATTTGCATCGGCACTTTTACGGTGCTTTTAATTGCTGAAAAGAAGTGTGCCATGTGAGAGTTAAGATTTCAATCGAAAGTGAAACGTTCTTGAGGCTCCTGGGGAGTCGCATCATCCATCTCTTTTTAATGACGTCAGAAGCGAGGAAAAATTCCTGCAAAGTACGTCGAGATAAACAGATATATCCATTTAAAACAACATTTGCGATCGATTAAGTACACCTCTAAAATACTCCGTATACTTTCCTTTTGTTCTAACAATCAACAGATAATTATAAAATAAATGTGACGTGCAATCGTCTTTTCTAACCTAATTTCCTTATTATCTTGTCATATTAATTTTCCGATTATCTATTGATTTTTAGAATAAAAGGAAAGTATACGGAGTATTTTAGAGGTGTATTTAATCGATTTCAAATGTCGTTTTGTGAATATATCTATTTATCTCGACGTTTGCAAGAATTTTTAGCATGCGTTTTCTCGCTTCTGTCGTTAAAAAGAGATGGATGATGCGACTCCCCAGGAGCCTTAAACAACTCGAGATAGAGAAAATCGTGAGTTTGCTGAGTGTTAAAAATTCGAGAATAGCCATTTTGTGGCAGATACAAAGTATCATGTTTCAATTATTGACGTTTGTCGTGATTAATCGCCTCGTTAAATTACACACGAACGCGTGCATGGGATACAAAAATCTCACGGGCGGAATGTGTATCGCGGATATTATTACTTATTTAATTAACATTTATCTCGATGCGTGCGGCGTGATAATGCCGGCGACGTGTTATCGGGTGAAACAAAATCAGGGATGAATTGGAAAGTCACGTATAAACGATAAAGCGGTATTGAAGGGCGGCGGGGTATGAATATGTATGCGTTCGTACGTCGTACTGTGCGGATATTGAATCGCGTATATTCGCAAACGTCGGGCAAACTCAGGCAAATCAAATTTCAGGCACTTCGACCCTGGGATTCGGATATCTAAAAGGTGTATGCAAATGCGAATACGCGGAAACACTCTAGATCGGCGGAGCTGTGGCGTGCAAACACGAGGAAACGAGCGGGAACGGCGGATATCCTGATGATCCCTCGTACCATTTACGGCGCCAGCAGGCGTGACAAATTTCTTCCCCCATAAATCGCCAAATAACAAATCAATAAGGACGTCTTTATTTGCGGCGCGCAGCCGGCTCTTATCTCCGGAATGGAGTCGGTAAGATGTACGAGGTGCTTCTGGATTCATCGTTTTCGCTTTCACCATGCGAATCTGACGTACGATTTGACGCGGGAAATCGATATTCTTCTCCGGGAAATTTACCTCTCCTTTCTGACGCGTTTGTCTTCAGTCTTCGACTAAGTTGTCGTTAATGAAAACCTCGTCATTTCATTAGAATCGTTTCACTAGTTAATACTAGAATGCCCGATGGAGTCGTGTTGACTCCTTTCTAAGGTTTTCTCGTCGTCGTTTCTGTTTCCCGTAGTTTAGAAAAAAAATCTCTTGTGACTTTAAACATTTATTTCTGCAAAATAAACTTTATATCACACAAATAAATGATCAAGTTTCTGTTTCTCAATGTATCGCATCAAAGTGAACTTTTCAGGAATCTAAGGAGGGTTGTTGTTTCCGTGCATTCTAGTATTGATGACGATTTTAGGCGCTCCGAATTAAACGAGAGATACTCCAGAATTGCACACTCGACAATAAAATGATTCGTCACTGTACCCTTCTACACTGTACCTGTCATCTTCCCTTCCTTTTTTCTTTTTTACTGGTGCAATCAACGTAACAATTTTTCCTCGCTTCTTTCTGTCTCTTCGTTCATTCTCAAAGAAAACTATTATCTCTCCGCACAACTTTCGACGCACTGTCATTATTTTCCTTCGATATTTTTATTCCACCCCTTCCCCGCTGCATGTTGGCACAATCGAGTCGATATGTTTGCACAGCACAGCCTCGCGTGCCAGGTGCCTCCTTGAGAGCCTGCACGCACAACACCGTATCTGCACAAGAGAGCACGTGCGTGCGGCTCTCGTGCACCCTCCTCTCGTGTACGTTGCACCCTGCGGTTCCTCTTTAATTAGAAAGAACCTCGCGAGCCTGTGCTCTCGGAGAGGAGCGCCTCCAGCGAGAACTCGTCGTCGACATCCACTTCCGCAGCGCACACACCCCCGCGCAGCCTTCGTTACTCCTGAAACCTCGTTTCATTCTCCACCCCCTCTGGCGCCTCCTTCGCAACAAGCCAGCTCGCGGGGCGCGCAAGATGCGCGAGTGTGTGCGTTCGATCGAGCATTGTGTTTCGAGCATGTCGGTTAAAAAGTTTCGCGCGGAATGCCCCGAGGGTCTGGGTATTCACCGAGGGTGATCTTCCGCGTGACGTCCGGCCGATTAAACTGCTCGACTACTTGCGGGGGTGGACCGCGCGTGTAGTGGAGATAAAAGACGACGGGTTACTCTCCCCGCGGGAGATCTCTCGTGCTTCGAGGCCCTTCTCTTCGACGCTTTCGGCAGATTTATTTTTGACACTCTCACAAGCCTTACCTATACAATAGGTTAAAAATGTAACCTCCACTGTCTGCACTGCTGAAAAAAATATATTATTCCGCCGGTAAGAAAAGCAAGTTTACTCAGTTTACTTTCCTTCCTTTGAGTGATGATTAACTCTTCAACGAAGAATATTTTCTTGTCGATATCTTAAAATAGACATCACGAATTTCAGAATTATTAATACGTTCTCAAAGTCTCATTATTATGTACTCAATTTATTACTATATGAATACATTGTATTAATTTATTATGTACTCGCAAGAAGAATGTATTCTCTTTGTCAAAATTCACGCCAAGACATTCGGACTTATAGTAAAAACTTATCGAAAAAAAAGTTTACTCGACTCTGTAATAAGAGGAGACAAAGCGAATTTTTTTTCAACTTTATATTTTTGATTGAAATACTAAGCTTTCTAGGACTCCAAATATATTTTGAATAAATCTGATGCTTGTGATCAACTTATGTGATGGATTTGCAAATGACCGAATAATAATTATGAAAGAAAGAAGTAACATTTACTTGAATGTATACTTTTTTCCGTATATACTATATTTGTGTAAGATAGGATATGTGAGATACAACAGGATTTAAACGTACAATCGCATTCAATAATTTACGTGTAATAAGAATATGACAATATGACAAGTACTTACGCAAGAAAGATCGCGGTCCTTCGAAAAGATTGTTTCGAATGTATAAAAGGAAAAACTTTCCGACTGGCGGGAACTCGGGTCTCTTACTATGAAATATTGGCTTTGCTTCCGGATGCTGAATGTATGAGCACGGCGAGTTACTTTCGAATAAGTGGATTAAAAGGATTTGAATAAGGCGATTAAAAAGTTTCACCGGTATAAAGCGAATAAAATGGTGAGATGGAAAACAGAAGAACGGTTTACATTGGAGTTTGTATCGGGGACACGAGAGGAGCTTGTTAATCGCGATTATTAAATAGAAAATTTAATTTTAACCTCCTCTCCTTCTAAAGTGACAGACAGACAGACAGAGAAAAAGAGAGAGAAAGAGAGATAACACGTCTCGTATCTAGAAGAGGTCTTTTAATATTTCGCGCGTTTTCAGAATAAATCTATTTTAAAATCAAGACATTTCTTGGCGTAAAAATCCTTCTTTTCTATCTAATTCATAAGTAATCGCACTTAGATTTAATATTTTATAATCGCACGACTAACAAGCTTATCGTCATCGCTTTAGACAGTTCCCACGATAAGTAAAAGGAAGAAAATCCTATTTTAATTTCTTAAAAAGTAAAACTTCATTAATGTCTGATTAGCACGAATACTGAAACCTGTCGTTGATAAGTTAAGCTGTCGTTTCAATTCAACTAATTTGACGTTAGTAACATTGATGAGACACGAAAGAGACTTCGTTGCGCCTAGTCGCTCTTTGGTCGTTTATTCCTTCGTTCGTTCGCTCCACTCGTTGATCGAGTCGAGAGAACGCGTGCTAATCGCACTATTCCCATCGGGCGAATAAAAGAACGCGCGCCACGCGCCGCGGGTTTCCCTTATCGACGAAATTGGAAAAGAAGACGATGTACTACTCACTGTGGAACCTGTTTGCTCGCGCGTTCAGTATCTGGTGCATTTTGTGGAGTGTTTCTTTGGTAGTCTTCTCGTGGCTGTCGCGTGCTCGCGCCTGCAGTCTCAATTCCATGTCGGCCGAGCAGCACACCTCACCGCCGCTGCTCGCGCTGCCGCATACTTTCAGTTCCTTCGCTGTAAGCAAGCGGATAATCAAACAGATTAGTCGGGAACACTGACAAGTTGACGGGATGACGGGCGAATGAACGGGGAGTGGTACGAGTGAGTGGATGAACTCGATTGAAAGTTTATCCTATGGTTTTGAATTCCGATCATGGTTGATCTCAATCAGTCATCTGGTTTATACACTAAGAAAAAAATATTTAAAGAATAAGAACTATTTATTCGGTAAGTACACACACTGATAACATGTTTATTGAGATCTAAATTCTTTTATTTAAATAGAGTAAATAATTGCTCTCGTGAAAAGCTAAGGTTATAAGAATACTTTGTATACTTTGAAAAATATTTGTATTAGTATAAGTAGATACGTTATTAGTACTTTCTCATTGAGTAAATATTTCTTATTCATTAAACATTTTTTTCTCTCGATGTGATAATAATTGCTTTTATGATAAGCAACGTTTTAGAAAAATATGTTTTGCTATTTGAAAGAAACTTTTTCTCAATGTAAGTATTAGCGCAAGTAAATATATTGTTAGTCTTGAATAAGCATTTTTAATATTTTTTTCTCCCCTAAGTTTCTCTAAATTTTTTAAAGTCGGGAAGCAAAGATTCTGAGTAGAGTAAAACGCCAAGTAGCCGATATTCTGCCATTGGTCGGCACACTTGCACGATTTAATCAAATGTTAAGTTACATGGGGATTTATTGTTCATTTTCTTAATCCCCATACACCTTAATATTTGATCAAATCCGCGCAAGAGTGCCTGCTACCGAACGTTTCACGTTGTAGGAAAGTTGCGTTCGCGGCACCCTCTCTCGCCGACTTTTCCAGCGACGAGAGTCGCACTTGCCGAGTCTTGGAGAAGAAATCGCGAAACGCGAGTTCCGCTCACCGATACACGCCGTCCGTTTTCCCCGTCGACGATAACGGCAGCGGCGATCGACGGAAGGAAGCAAGAGGGGCGCATATTCGAAGAACGCTAAGCACACTCTTTTCTTTCCAAGTTGCGTGTTTTTCTTAGAGCCGAGCGTCCCGTGCAAAAAAGTTGCTTCAGCTGGAGGATCAGAAAGGCGTACTTAACGCATGAATATGCGTCAGGAATACGACCGCAAGGGAGCGAAATGTTTTCCGGGTATGTACTGCCGCGCGGCGGCTCTCGAGCATGCTTGAGAGGAGGGAATACTCGCAAGCGGCGCAAGACGCCGTTGCGCCGGAGAGGAGTTTCCGGTAAATGCAATTTAGTTTTGAGAATCCGAGAGACAACGAGCTACGTACACAAAAGCCCGGCCGGCGCTCAGGCACCAAGCCGAAGACATTGTGTTCTCTCGCCGCGCAGAGGGTGAACACGCGACTCCCCGCGCGCTCGCACGTTTGCATTAGCGAGTGTCGAGTGCTAAATTAAGCGCGGAAATTACTGTACTTGTCCCGAGCGGCTTTTGTTCGCCGCCAGCGTTGCGCGACGCTCGCGATGTTTGCTCAAAACGTACTCACTGGCAGTTTCGGCTCGCTTCGGAAGCGATTCCGTCACTTCTCCCTCTTCTTCATTCGCAAAACATGCGCCTATGCGTGCCTGCGTGTGTGTGCACTGAGAAAAAAATACTTCAACATTTATTTGTTTGGGTGTAAAGTTTATTTTCTGGGAAATAAAATTTATTTCTGCAAAATAAACTTTTGAGTTATACACACACACACAAATAAATTTTCAAGTATTTTTTATTTAGTGTAGGTTGGTGGATTTGTGATTAGCCGTGAGTTGTCACAATCTCGGGAGTGATTTAATTAATTTTTCTTAATTTTCCGTTGTAGTCTTTCGACTGCGAATTAAGGGTAAATGATTGAGATTATCTCCGCAGCCAAAATCATGAATTATTAGCGCAAATTATCGAAAAATCTCGACGTTGTCGCACCGTAAAAATTCAACGATAATTCTTTACGGTAACTAACGGTCGTATTAAGAGGACAAATTGTTTTTTTAAAGTCACAAGAAAGCGGAAACAATATTTGGGAATTTATTTGAAGGAAACTACAGCGTAAATATGTCTAAATTTTATATATGCCATTAAGTAATATATTTACATAAAAAAATAATTTATAATTGTTTTATGCGAAAATGAAGTCACATTTATTTAATAGTTTTCTCTAAATCAATTTCCGAGTATTGTTGCTTATTTGGTCTAAAAAAAGTAGTTTGTTTAGTAGTTATTACTGGAAACTTATCTCGTAAGAATTCACAAGGAAACATAGGCAAGCCGAAAATTCAGAAAATTCTGAAACATTGTGTGCAAATAGAGTAGTACATCCATAATATAAAACTATTTTTTGTTTCTGCTAAATTTCGATTTAAGGAGGTGAAACCACCCCTCGAAACCAATGAGTGGGGAAAGGGGGTTCAACAATTTTTCATTTTTGCAAAATTTGAATACATCGTTGCAAAGAGTATAAAATATTCTATCACTTTTATACAAACTATTTTTTCATATGCGTTGTATTTTAAGAAATATTCGCTAAAAATAAAAATGTTATGTTTTTTCGAAAGATGGTTTCACCCCTTTAAATCGAAATTTAGCAGAAAAAAAAAAGTTTTATGTTATGGATGTACTACTCTACTTGCACACAATGTTTCTGAATTTTCAGGTTGCCTATGTTCCCTTGTCAGATTCTAATTCAAAGTTGAATTCAATTGAATCATACGATATGTCTAGCATGAGATCTGTAATCATTATTTAACTGAAAAATTTGGATCCAACTCTAAACACAAATCCAAGTATTTCGCTCGAGAGAAGAGTTTCAAACAACAACTATTAATACGAGCCTAACTCGCCGTACCAGCGACGCGTTTGCTACAGAGAACGGATAGGGTGGGCGGGGTTAAGAGGAAGGGTTAATCGAGCGTGCCGGTACATGCCTAAAATTCGTCGTTGTACGAGCGGCGGAGTCGCGGAGAAAATCGCTCTCCAAGCGCAACGCAAGTCGCTCGGGGAAAAGTGCCATTGTTAGGCTCGAAACAGGAAACATCCCGCGGGCTTCTACCCCTCCTTCCGCCACTTCGTCCACCATCCTCATCCTCATCCTCCTCTCCTCTCCTCTCTTCTCCTCTCCTCGGGCACGACTCTACTTCAACTTCGTGATTACCGTTTCGGAGAGGTCGGCACGAATAACGCGCGCGTTTTCGGAGAGGGATGAAACGATCCGTCCAATGAAAAGGGCGGTTTCCTCGAGGGCACTCCGGAAAACGCCGGGGATAAATGCGGAGGCGCGCCGTGGTCGTCGCGCGGATGTTTAAAACGCACGCACGTACCCACCCACACTCGCTCACGCACCTTCACGCACACTGCGACGGACCGTCGGCTCGTAATCCTTTGCGACACCTCGCCAAGTAATTACCGGACTCGTCATCGCTTTAATCGCCTTAGCTGCTGCGCCAGGCGCGTCGATTTATTCGCGGCTTTGCGGGCACCCGAAATCGCAGCCGCACCGTGTTCAAGGTAAAGCAGCAAATAGCGACGTGAAATCACGATGAAAGATGTGTATGTCCCGGCGGGGCCAACGACACGAGTCGGATTAACGAGATGATCGAACGCGAATTTTCATCGGGACGAACAAATCACTCTTCCTGCGCTACTTCCTCTCCGTCCTTCATCATTGTATAACTTCATCGTACATTTAAAAGTTGTGATATTAAATTTGCTGGAGGATGAATCTTTGCTATACGCAGGAAATAAAAATTTAAGGAAATGGCTACACTTCCTGGTTTCAAGTCATTTCTTCTTTCTCTCTCTTTTTCTCTTCCCCTTTCCCTATTTAGTGCGCTGGGAAAAATACTAATTTTGGAAATTTTCCAAAGGATTCAGGTTTATCCTCCAGAAAATTTTATACTATTCTTAAATTTTCTCGTCCCATTTCTTTCAAATTATTACACGAGCTGTAATGTCGTTCACCAGTGAGACGTTCCGGCGACACTGTGCTTAGCACAAAAATTCTGGACGATGGAATTCCAACTTTTTTAAATAAAAATTATTTTTTATGCTTAAAATAACGATAAATAGTATGGTCAAAACCCTAGGTTGATATTTCTATTCATTGTTTTGAAAAAAGTTTGAAAACTTCCGATTTTTCGATTATCTAAACGTGAAACCTCCCCTTAAAAGAGAAAAAATTGAAAGTTTTGAGTTAGATACGAGCTGAAACACGATTATAAACGTAACGTCGTATACATTTATTATAATATATGATTATAATTATTATAATATATTCATGTAAAATATTCCAATCTTATTGTAAATTCAGATCGGAATATTTTGCGCGGGAGAGCTTTCAAGTAACGATTATTAACGGAGCTCAATTATCTGACTGTGCAAACAGATAATGTGGAACGTCAGAAAGACGAATGCAATTCTTTGCGTTCTCTCGATCGAGATCGTGGTTTGAACGACGACGATCGGCTGTCTCGCGGTATCCTCGATATCGAATCGCTGAAATTGTGTTGCGAGACGCGCGTAATCGAGTTAAGCTCCCCGGCGAGGCCGAATCACGACTCGTCGCACACACGCGACACAGATCGTCGTCGTCGCAAGCGATCTTCCCATGAGTGTCGGGGATAAACCGGTAGGACGCGGGAACCGGGCTCCTTATGGGACTTGGCTCGACTTCGCCGTAGTCCCTTCCCGCGAGATTGCTTTTTCTTCGTGAGTTCCTTCCATTACGGAATGGGGTACGCCGAGTACGTACGCGTGTATGTACGAGAGTCAATAACGAGCAACGCGCGCTTAAACCGTCGAATTAATTAATTACCGAATTAAAATGACGTCACTCACAGGATTGAGAACTGTATTAGTGCTCCATAATAAATGTACTCTACTAAAGTGAATAAATGCTTGATTGAGCCACTAAAGGGAATATTTCACGAATAATCAATAAATATTCAATGAATAATAACGAAAAATCAATGAACAATAATGAATCGATGAACTCGCTGGTTTTCAGCAGAAACACTCGTTTTAATGCTCCGTC